GTCACTTTGGCCTAAAGCAGCTTCTCGCGTGACTATTTAATTACGTTAGTGGTCGAACTACCTGGACTACTTGAATTATTAAGTAACTTAGTCGAACTAGCTAATATTGTTTTTTTAACAATAGCTACGGACATAAATATTAAATTTAACATAACGTGGATCATAGCAAACAATCGATCATACAACGCTGGTTCTTTTATTCAAACTGGACTAACTTATAAAATCGAATTTTGTTATCGTCATAAGCGACAACATTTAAGAACAGCGTGTATAGTCTTTAGTCGTCCATTACAACCGATAAAAAAGCGTTCATTTTTTACCATCATTTGGGTTTCCGTAAAACTTACTATAATTTTCTTCGCATCCAATCGATTAATTGGAAAAAAATACATATAACAACTGAGGAGCGCACAAAAATCAATAATCCTGACAAGTATACGAATGTGACTAGATTGAATCTTTTATTGATATTGCAACAAATGCGTATGCGCTTTGTTTACCTATGTGTAACATGACTTAAAAAAAAAAAAGTCTAAAAATGCAATTAATTACTAACGTCTCAAAACCTATTGTTATCGACTGTAACGTCTTTAAAAGTAAATACCACACAAGGTGTCAGTGACGATTCGTTATACAACAGCTAGTCCACAGAGCAGTGGTTTCCAAACGTCAAAAAAATATATATATATATATTTAAAACGTGGCCGAAAACCTAATACAATAAGTGTTCGTAGGATTCAGACGAAAAGTCAATGGGAAAATCGAAAAAGTGAATGGGGTCGTTCGCTATGACACACGAGCCTACAAATAAAGTGTTAAAATAGCGTTTTCACAAGTATTGACCCGACACAGATGTTTTGACGTCACGTGCGTCATTCTAAACCAAATATCGATACGCCGAGATATACATTGATTGTGTGTTATTTAGGCGAAGTCTTATTATGATAATATAGGTTTACTAATAGACAATAATAAGCATAAATCAAGGAAATTTGTTTGAGTGCATAGTAAATACAACGACTGAAAATAACTCAATACATTACACGATTTATAATACTGAACACGTCGCCAAATGTGATGCACAAAACATTAATTCAAACTTTAATATTATAATAATAATAATAATAATATTATAATATAAAATAATAAATTTAAATAAATTCTTCAGTAAAAAATTGAATGATACAAAATTTATAATTTAACTAAACGGTCTAGCTACTTACCGCCGAGTTTACCGCTGGTTACCACCCCGTGACTTTGTAAGCCATAAAAACTTAACCTGCCTCTCTTCTACCGGCTACGGTTAGTACAATAATAATGTCACTTTCTATTTTCAGAGTCTGGTAACCAGACACACAGGCTGGTAAATATAGTAAGCAGCCATTGAGATATTTAAGCGCTTTACATACATATAATACAAAATCTATTCCGTTGTGTAATAAATTAGTAGGAACGCATCCTGAATATTAAAACTCATGTTCGACTAAGTTATCGTTAAGACTTCAGTAGCGACATCGGCAAATTAATTTTAATTTAAAAAAAAAAAAAACAATGAATTTAATGGTTCATACTAATTTAAGTAAACGAAGCCCGGTTGCGTGTAAAAACAACCACTGAGCTTTATAATAAATTAGTCAACGGTTATATGCAGCCTTGTCTCAATACCTCAATCTTACGATTCCTAACAACAGACTATACAGTAAATTCAGTACACTCACAATCAGTCTATTCAGTGGTTAGTGTGAAAGTGGGTTAAGTAGACACAAAAAGCTAGTGAGGTTAGGAAGGTCTTAAGTCATTGGTAGTTTGTGCAGCCGAAAAAGATAAAATCACACTAAAAAAAACTCTAAATGAGACCGGAAACTGGTGTCTAAAAAAAACATAAAAAAGTTTTAAAAATCAATAAATAAAGGTACGACAACTTCTTTATAACTTGACTGCTTAAAAAAGATTCTGATCTTGATGTACCAAATTACTGATATTATATTACTGATACTATAAAATAAAAAAAATTATCAACTTCCGCATCTTAGTTATATCTTAATAGGTATAATACCTAAAACAAAATTTGGAGGTATTTAAATATTTGTTTATAGAGTATTTACCCTAATAATAGAGCTGATAGAATATTCCAAGATTTTTACGTTCCCCTATGACAGTGTTAGAAAGGGATTTTTTTTTATTTAGAAATACGCACTAGATTTAAAAACGAATCGAAAGGGTTTGTCCGATATAGTGTAACACATCTAAATATATTATACGCGATATTTTACACCTGACGCTATGGCAACGCGATAGACAAACAAGGCAAACGGTCTACTTAAAATTATTATACTATGACCCCGGACCGCGGTCATCGTGCGTGCCTATTGTGTAATGGTGGTGCGGTCGTACCACAGGACCCGTTTAGTATAATATACACGTTGTGAGGATACTACTTGTCAACGTGAAGTGACTAAAAAAAAATTTACAATCCAATCCAAACCCCTATATTGTTATTAAGCACGAGCGTTTCAAGTGTTGACAAAACATGTTATATAACAACAGCTATGGTCGGTCCGTGCAAAAGGGATGCCGCCTCCGCCTAAACGACTGTAAACGGCTATTGTCACTACGGTTGTTCACCGTGAAAGAACGGGGTGCGCGAAGATTTAGTGGTTTATTGAGGCGGCGTCCTTGGCCACTCGGATCGCTTTCTAATATTTAACCGTCTAGCCGCCTTTTCTTTCATTGAAATTTCGATTTTATTCTCCTTCAACGCGAGTGCAGCGTGAGGCTGAAAGAAAAGAGCCCGTCAACGATCACTTTAATAAACCAGTAAATTACACGCCGAATTTACGGGGTGTTCGGACAACAAGGGACTTTTTTCGACCCCGCTCGTTGTGGTTGACCCAAAGACCTATATACACATATAAACCTCGTCTATATATAAACCGTACAAATGATGTGTTTGTTGTCGTTCGATACACAGTCGACTTGACCGTATATGCCGTTGCGCAAGGTAACCGTGGAGCACGTGCTAAACACATTTGTAAGTCATTGTTATTTGTGCGGCCGTTTTGTTATTCTTACATCAGAATACATAACATTTTTTTTTATTGTTGTACCCAACGGTGAATAATAAAAAATATATAAATGCATAATAAAATATACGATTTAAAGAAATCGCCTTATAAGCGCGTTTGAAGATGACGCCACACACCCTTTACGAGGGCGTTAGGTATGGACAGTTTTTCGCTGAAACTTAATACTAGCCTCACGGTGCCGTTGTTTTAGTTTTTAAATAGGGATACAGAAAAATCGAATCAGGTCGTTTTTTCTTTACTTTATACACCGCCTCATGGTGTCGGTTTTTGTTGATATTCATAGATATAGCTTAATTTTTATCAATTGGTTAAAAAATCCACTTTTTTCTTTTCAATTACTTTAATACAAACTTATTTAATTACACAAACAAAAAAAAAAGACCGTAGACTTTGAATAACATTGTGTTTTAGCTTTTAAGCGTCATCAAAGATTGCACAGCGACTACAGTCAAAATATGATAGTTCACAGTTGACCAATAATAATAAAGATAAATAGTGAAAAACTTTTAAAATAGATGTATGATAGTCTGATAAAAAAATTACTTCTCATAAGACATAACTTCCTCATTATTGTACTGAACAAGTACACTAGAGCTATATTTAAATCTTAATAAAAAGGGGTATGACGTCCGCTTAAAATGATGCCTTTTTTCAACTGTTATGTGTTGATTATGCTATATTATATCAATTGATTCCAGACCAAAAAAATTACAGGAAACAATAGGAACGTCAATACCGATGCATAATATTAATTGGCTTCCATCTCTAGGTAGTTGTCAAAATTATATACTAGCTGCCTCCGAAATACTATCCGACTTGCTTCCGGTGACCTTTAGGTTTTATGACATATCATATGACGTAACAACTTTATGTCAAAGAGTACTAGTTATCTCCAGCGTTAGGTAATAAATATTTTGTATCCGAATTGCCTCCCGAGAGTATCTGATTTTTACAAAATTTATATTAATGATTTTTTTTTTTTTATAATAGTAGTATTTACAAAATTTTACACTTAAATAATTTTTAACGTTTGGCGGCAGTCGTCATAATCTGTGGTTATCTGTGAGAATTCCCAAACTGACATGAGATTTTCTTAAGCGCGCACTTTTATGGAAAATAGTTTCTTGGCTTATTGAAAACAAAAGACCGTAAACTGTGCTCCTGAGATTTCCTCTGCAATTTGAAAATTTCTGCCGATATTCGAATTGAAAATAAAATTTGTTTCAATTGTTATTATCGTATGTTACATATTTTAGTGTACGCTATTGGACGGACGTAAACGGTTTTTATGGCTCGGCCGGTACCTACGACGTGTTCGGCTTTGTGTGCAGTTAGTTTTGGCGTACTTACGCGTATTTTTGGGGCTGTCTGAAAATAGGTTGGACTATCTGACGGGCCGGGGTGACCGTGACACTAATAATATTTTCGCGAGATAAAAATCGGCAAAACGCGGGGGAGGGGCGCGAAGCAGAGGGCCCTTGCCGTCCTTGCCTGAGCACATCGTGGCGAATTGCTCAGAAGTAGGTCACTAGTAACAATGTTAGCGGCCCCGCGATGGCCTTGAGCTATTAACAACTATTATATTATGCGCCCGATCGTCCGCTCCGCCGTCTGTGATTGCCGATTAAAATAATAGTAATAATAATAACAATAATAATTTAAATTTAAAAAAAAAAATCCGCAATCGATTAAAAATACCACTGAGCGAAAAACGGTCCGAGAAATACGCATAACGTTTTATAGAACAGACGAGTGTAGGTAATATTTTATTGTATTGTTACATCACGAGATAATAAGATAGTATTAATCACTATCGGCCTCAGCACTCAAGTAGACGCCACGTCATGTACAACTCCTGTGTATGCAAATTAAAATCGCACCAAAAAAATGTATACTTAATTTAACGCCACTCACCTTCGATGAAATTGGGTTCGTCATCGCTCAAATGACTTAAGTCCATGCATTTAGAGTCTGAAATTAAAAAAAAAAAAATGCTTTAATAATAAATCGACGTCAGTCGGTTTAGACGTGTTGTTGTGCACGTTTCATTGTTTCAAACACACTTATTAAATTAATGTACAACCGCCACAACTCAAAACACATTTAGACTTGACGATATTTTATTTAACTATACATTTTTAAAATCGACATTAAGTTATACGGAGACTATGGTTGAGTCCAACGTTTTTTTGAGTTATGCGAGTCTTATATTTTATTAAAGCAAAAATATGTTGTATTATTACCGTCAATAAATGTTTGATCGTCTTCGTTTAAATTACTCAGGTCCATGCACTTTTGATCTGAAATAAACAATTATTTTTTTTTAATTACAGGGCCAATTTGAGATTAAATATGGATTCACAGAGTATTAACAGAAAACCACGTTTAAATTGTAAATCCGCGACTATACACTAACATAATATTATTGTAATTAAATCCAAACATGTATGTTCCGTGAAGCACGCTATCGTGTGTCAATAATAAATATTTAAAATAACATAAATACGTCGGTCTGTTATGAAAATATAATTAACAGAAGAAAACAGTTTCAAAATCTACAAGCTCGAGGATCAAATAAAAATTGTACATACGACATTATACTTAATATTAATAATTTGTTCGAACAGAACCATATTTTTGTGCATTTTTTTTAACCGAAGTGTCGTTTTGTATATACTATTTTATGCGTAATATTACCGTCGGGTATAGATTGTAAAGTATCCTACATCGATCTATACAGTGTACATACACAACGTTGTTTCGTATACTCACCATAAATAAAAATACAAATAATAATTTTATATGACAAATATTCGTGCAACGGCTGAGTTCATAAACACATGTTTGCTCAGCTCACAGCTAGATTAGTCACAAGTAATATATATTTTTTTTCAATGTAAAGTAATGCAAATGCACCTTAAAAATTGGGATTAACGACCAAAAATGTGCACTTCACGCGTAATATGTATTTTTGGTTTTAATTAAGTAATTTTTTTTTTTTTTACTTTCTTTATAAATCCTATGTTTATAACGAATATTCTATACAAGGCGACGATTTTTAATTCGCAATGTAAATATTATATACTATATTATAATATAATAATAATTAAACATAAATTGCATCACCGTCGTGACCTTGACAAATGATAGACACGGGTGGGCGATACTGAAGGATGTTAACTTGACCGCGACATAAATACCCAACACGAATACAAGTTATTAAATAATAGTTTATAATACCGCTATGTTTGAATTCAAGCTAACTGCACAGGTCGGATCGACTACCGTTATTTAATATTTTATTAAGGAAAATAAAATATTTAATTTGCCCACGTTGCAATGTAAGCAACTAACCTAACCTAACATTTTGCTTGCATAACACATAATATTATACAATATAATTTTATTATCTCGTTGCCGCATCCATTAATTAAAGACCGATAGAAATTTAACACTTTAAATTCGAATACTAAACCTACATACATTTTGTACCTAACAGTGAACAACCAAACAAACAATCAGTGCTTTACTATCAAGAGTCAAACTTACTAATTGTGCAGTTAAAGAAAAAAAAACAAGTTAATATTAAAAACAAAACTTTAACATCGAGACAGAAATATCTAAAATTTTCCTATTTTTTTAAGGGGTAGACCACTTAAGTATTTATAATTCATTGCTCGTAATATAAAATGTTATGATATCTATACATAAATAAATTAATAACCCTTAAAATTAGCCACAATGTTATAACAGTTGTTGGTTAAATCCAAGTACGTCTTATCATTAGCTTTTTTTTGAGAATGGACCGAAAAAATTATATTGATATTGTTATATAAAAACACAAACTATGTAATAACCGTCATCCGTGTATGATATCAAAATGAGACCAATTTACCTACCACGTTAAAATTATGTTTCTGAAGCAAATGTTTGAATTGAATCCAAGAGCTGCGTTAAAAATTGGCAATTTTTTATGTTCTAATTACATTATTAAATAAATGTTTAATATATAAATAGATGGTGTCTAATAGCAGGGAGATGAATAAAATGTCAAAGGTCAAACATTTAGGTCAAAAATGCACGCAAAAGCGAAATAACACTATCGAATATATTAATAACAACGAACGAGTGTCGAAACGAATTCCTTTATCAATGTTATCTAATAAGTTTACACTTTACTGCAGACGGTTAGATAAACGTTCACAGGATAAGGTGTTTGAAAGTGATCAAAACACCGTATTCTTCTTTAATTTTTGTTTTAACCCGTTCATCAAACGTTTCTACTACGGAGGTCTGGACTGTTAAATTAATATTTTTCGTTTTGGTATCATACTAGTAACAGGTCTGCTGTTAAAGCAACTGTTATATTTCATTATTAATGATGTCTATATGGTGTTCACTGTTCATCTACATTCTCTTCCTTTACAATATAATATATATTAGGTACATATAATAATAAATTACCTTCGTTCGGTTGGTTACGCACGGTGGCCAGTTAACCGCATACACGGTATCCTAATAAGACCAAGCCTGGCATCCGAAGCATCCGAGAAACCACACGTGAGAGGTTTACAAATAGGATTTTTTGTGTTTAATTTAAAAATTAAATTAACAATAATAAAATTCAGCAGTTAGCACAATTGTATCCAAGGGGACTAAAATGTTATAAACTTAAAAGTAATAAATCACTTTCAAGAAAACGCAACGTAGGATGCAATTTAAAACATAAATATATATATATATATATACTTCGAACATGGTTCAAAACTCTAAATTCTAATACTAAAAATAATATGGATCTCACAGATTCTAATGTCAAAACTTGCTATTTATTAATTTGTAACTAATAATGTATATCGATTTTTTTTTTTTAATTCAAAGAATTTCAAAAATGTCCTATTATTTTCTCAATGCTAAAATAACAACCATTGATAAGAAATTAATGATGCTAGAACAAATTTGTCCAAACCAATCGAATAAAATGTTCTTTTTAATTATTTAAAAAAAGAAAACTATTTTCAATGAACGTAAAAATATCTACTTGACGTGAGGAACCACTGAAAATGTGATATACAATAGACACAAAGTAATGGCCAATGTGGCTAATAAAAATTGGGAAGTAGTATAAAGTCTCCTAAGAGATATTCATAAAAAAAACACTATCACAATGAAAACATTTTTTTAGAAATGAAAAAATCAACCCTTTCTTTTTTTTGCCTTTGTCGTAAACTAGTCCAAATGCGTGATGGCTAAGCATATTTCAACCCCCTTCCTCCTTGTTAGTGATCTAGAGGGTAACATATAGATATATATAAAATTATAAAGATTGCATACCACTGACATATTTAAGGTAAAATCTTGGACAGTAGTTATCCGTATTGAATTAAGCACTTCATATTATGTTGTATTAATTATATCAGATGAACGGTATATAATATCAAGTATATATTAGTATCGAGGAAATATATCATTAAGTATAGGACGATATATTGAATGAAAATTCCAAATACACAGAACTCGCCGGATGTTGGATATATTATTTAGAACTTACCAAATTCGTTTAACGCCATTCCATTTTTTTTTTTTTTTTGGAGGGGAGACTGTACCATCCAAGGGCGACGACGAGACATTGTGGTTCAAAAAATAATAATAATGGGTTACATAATAAAAATTTTTTTTTTTAAAACGGGACAATATGAATGATACGATTGCAATGGAGTGGTAGACGAGGCGTGCGTGACCTTGGCGGAGTCTGCAACTTTGGGGAAGTTTGGAGAAAGACATCCTATATAGACCTATACAGTAATTTAAAAAAAAAAAACAAATCTATTATATGTGTTTTTTTTTGTTTGAGCGTCGATTATATAGTATCAGTTAAATAACAAAATTAATAACGGTATAATACATAAGCGTCCTTAACGCAAGGTCGAACCAAAAACGGCGGCGACGGGGGACATCATCTTCGGTTAGTCATTAGAACAGATCGTACCGCATCTGAACGTAAACAATCTAGTACAAAATAGTTAATGGCAAAAATAATTTCAACGTGTATAAATATATATAATAATGTACCGAGAGATGTATGAGAGAGACAGAGTGATCAGACTTGTTATTATTATTGGCGTAGCTACATAAAGAATACCGGTCACATAGGTGTCGATTAAATTCGTTCAAAAGTGGGTCATAGGTAAATCAAAGGTGTGGGAAAGATGGCGGCTATGCTACACACTATATACCTAATCACGAAAAAATGACTTCACACCACGATTGTACTTCCCGAGGTCGTTTTACTACACGAGATAACACTAATGCATGATGCAAATGCGCGCGCACGCACACAGAATTGGACATACGTGTTGAACATGTTAAAACCAATTCGAAAGAGAGCAACGGTTGTCTATATTCTGTCAACACACTCAGGCCGATAGGGTACGATAAAACGAAAAAGTTTATACACTGTAAAAAAAAACCTAACGAAATGGCCAATCAAGGCATATAGAAATTCTTGATTTTGAATTTGTCAATACCCAACATTTTACAAATATTTAGTACAAAACATTTGACCAGTGACGCTTAAATTGTTATTTTCACATAATTCTGGATAATATATACTTATAATATTGTGTACATACATATTTTTTAATTGATATACAACATAAAAAAATGAATTATCATATTATTTACTTTTTTTTTAATGTATTTATTACAAAAATAAAACCACGACAGCAATCTAATCCGATAAATGATAATTCGCCGAAAAATTGAAAATCTAGTAATCGTATTAACTTTAGTGTAAATAAAATTCCTAACAATTTGATAGATTGCCCTTAAAGTCGTATAAAGGAATGATCACAACCCAATAACATTTATAACAGAACATTTTGAATATATTAAAATTACATTTTTTCAGAATTACGTGTATAATAGAACCTGTACCCTAAAGGTGTACACTCAGACACAACACATCAAACGATCTTTGTGAACGAATGTTCGTAAATAATAAATATTGACTCAATCAAAACGGTCTCGTTACTCGTTGACAATTGTTATTTGGTACTAGATAAAAGTAATATATTATAGTCTTGTTACTATATTTTGAATTTAATATAACGATTTTTTTCTTTAGTCTTGTCTGTGTAATTTCTTATATGTAAAATATGTTTTTGCAATATTTTATACGTACTATATAATATATAAAAATCCCGTCATATTATATGAGTCATATATATTTTTCCTCGATTATTTAATTTCTAAGTTAGATTTCATTAAATAAATTCTATACTAATTCTATAATATTAGA